CAACAATGTGGTGGTGGTGCCAAGTTTGTCGTTTCCATAATTCAACAACTAAATCTGGATGGTAATCTCTGTCATAAATTAGCAGGGTCCAGCTTAGGGAATCTTGGCAATTCAAATTTTTACATTGACAAGGGCAAACCTTTCCAGTAGGGTTGCTTGGGGACTATATCACCTCAGTATCAGATAGGGGATCTCAAGCGTTGCAGATTTTCAACTAAAGTAAGACAGAAATCATAACAAGATCATATCACATTTACATCGAATCCCTTTTGCAGTATGTGTATGTTTAAGACGAGTCCCTTTTGCAGGTTGTGTATGTTCAGGAAACAGACGGCAACTTCTAAGCATTGTAAGGATTGAAACAAGAATAAGACACCAGACACTGCTGAAGAGTGAGCTCCGCGTTCTATGCAATTTCTGATCGACGCTTCATTTCTGGGTGAAAATTGTTCCAAGTTCAATAACAGGCTCAATGTTGTCAACATAATCATGCCTAAAACAGATAATTAATGAGTTGGGGCTTCTCTTAACGTCCATAGAGACAGCCTCGCTCATTCTCTTCCAACTAAAGCCATGCACTTACGTATGGAAAAATAATCAAATTAACAGACAAGGGGACATAATGACTCTTAAAGTAGCATCACATTTCTCAATGAGAGGAAAGTAACAAAAACATGAAGCATTGACTTCATTGCGGTCAATAATGCCTGATTATTTGAACAAGAATGCCTGAAGAAGCCTATTAGCATTGTGCATTCCTTCCTCTGTTATAAAAAATAAACTACCACATAAAAATATAATTTCACTCAGACATTCACACCAAAATAAGCAGTAGCAACAAGGGCAATAAGATGCTTATGGAATGGTGCGCTGATAGAGGGGCAAAGCTCCCAAAGCCTCACGTTCTGCTTTCTCCTTCTTCACCTGTAGGACACAAACAAATTAACACTTCAGTACAGCTTCAAATCTATGCAACAACCATGCATATCTCACTCCAGAGTTTTACCCTTACAATGATTTTACCATTCATTCGAAATAATTTTTGTTTCCCTCTTAAGACTACATTACCCTTAAAAGAATCTCTTTCATACAGCTCGATGGCAAGTTTAATGGTTCATTATAGATAAAACAGTTTTTTTATAATTTCTCTGTTTGATGTGGATATTGTTTTCCATATGCAATTCCTGAATGGACAATGCTAAATGTAAGGCTATGTTTAAAATAATTCTATAAATCTTGTAGAATCTCATTCCTAAACACTTGATTCAAGTGGAAGATGGTGAAAACCCTTCATAAATTATAAATGCTTACCTCACATGGAATTCCATGTGGAACTGAACAATGCATTTGCAATTCAATGCAACATTAATAGGATTTGAAATGCATTATTTTAATTCCATATGGAATTCTCTATGGGATCAACTAGAATTATTTTTTAGTTGAACTTAGTGTGAAATTTCAAATGAAATCTAAAAAATTTAAGAATTTGTCCTAAATGTTAAATGCTTTATCATAATAAATCAAATGAATTTTTGGATGCTTCTTATGGAAACATTTATCTAGCATGCAGAGGAAGAAAACAAAATTTGCACTACATTCTTCCTACAGAAATCCACATCTTTGATCTTCTTCTTAGATCTAAAGTCCCAGAGTATATTTTTTTGAAAGGCTTAAATCAAAGTTAATCCAGTTCAATTTAGACAAAAAAAAAAAACAGAAACTTAATTCTTTCCTGGTAAAGATGTCCGGCAAAGAATTTACATGTTACAACATCACTTGATAACCTCTTCTCTCATCATCCTTTTCATTTTTTCCTAGCTAAGGCCATGTTTGGAACAAACCAATAACATTTTTTTTTTAATAATGCATTTAGAAATCCACAACATAGATTAACTGGGAAAGAGACAAACTTTATTAGAAGATGATGAAAAATGAGCTCATTTTGAATTCCAACTGAAATAAAGTGCTATAAAAATCAAGGTAGGTTGGAATGCATTTTTTTACAGAATCCCTAATGCATTGCCACATCTTAACTTGAAATCCAATGAACTCATTTTTTATCATTTTAGATTAGATTCTTACATACTCCTAATTAAGCTACACAAATTTCTAAATGAATTCCACAATTTCTTGATTTGCTCCAAACGTAGCCTAATCATCTATTGAAATGAACATTAGACAAAAACATGCATCAATTCATTACAAAAATATTTTCCACATTGGTGATCGATCATGGAATTTATTAAAAGCATGCATTATGATAAGATGCTAACATATTGTGAATCAGTTCATCAAGGATAGAATACAATATTGTGTTTGCAATTAGTTTTACCAACATAATAAGATAGAGTTAATAGTCATCCAATTTTTTGATAGACTTAAAAAAGGACATCAATCAAACTCATGCTACCTTTTCCATAACAATCTGAGAAGTTATGATAAAGTCCAAGGAAGACTGTAAATTGCCTGCTATATGCTCCATTACATCGGTTTCAGTTAAAAAAGTTATGGAACCTAAGGGGCAGTGTTTGAAACAAGACGTGGACAATGATTCTCTCTTACATCATTCAGGAAAGCATGTGGCACTTGGCTCAAATTTGAAAACCAATGACTGATTAAACAGATCAAAGCCAAGATTTTAACATTTTCACATATAATAGTTCTAAACTTGGGCCTATCTTTTTCTTTTCAAAAACAAACTTGAGCCATTCTTTGTGCTACCTATGTTGAATTTCTATTTTCTAAGAGTATATTTCTTCTAATATTTATGGTTTTTCAAAACAATATACTACTCCTGACACTAGAAATAAAGAACAAAGGTCTAAAAAGTAAGGAACCATCTTATATAATACAAGTACAATTAAACCATCATCATCAGGATACTTACAAAGGACTAGAATGGGAATTTTTCCATTCACAAGCCTAACAGTTTGGGGTTGGAGTGTTCATGGAGAAAATTATTGCTTTTTCAATGACAGACTCACTAAAATAGGGGATGACATAGCTAATAACAATGCATATATATATTGTTTAATTCATCTAAACAAGTATGACGTCTGAGCTCCCAAGATAATTGCCTTAAAATGTGAAAACATTGTTAAAGAATAAAGATGCAAGAAGGTATGCACTAATCCCGAGTCATGTATCATAAAATCTAAATGAGGAACCTATTGTCAAAGAAAAAGAAATTAACATGTCAAAACGATGTGACTGAGATGATGAAAAGACTTATATTCATTAATTTTATTTTACAATAGTCACAGTTTTAACACTTTCTTGAGCATTCTTTCGTAATCATACACTCTTTTCTGTATTATTTATCAGTTATAAAACATTAACACAAAAAATTTGTTTACTCAAGTCCTATACATGCCACACACACCACAGCATCTTGTTTTATCTTGTGTATCATATTTAATTCGATCTTGTTCTATTTCTTCGTTATACTAGACACTACTAATTAGCACAAGAGAATGATTAAGGAACTCTTGATTCTGCTTGCAAGTTTATGAAGATTAAAATACAAAGATAATCTCGAAAAAGTTGTAAGCTATTCAACAAGAGATGTATGTAAGAAGTATTGCAGGTATTTCCATCAAAACGAGGAACACTTATGACATACACACATCCAAGCACACACCTATGAACAAGCATACGCAGATGCAACAGCACAAACACATATAAAAAATCAAATGTATATCCATATATTTGCTTGAGCACTTACCAGAGCCAGCATATCTTGAAGATAGTACCTAAATGGTGTCTGCTGTGCCTGCATAAGATCGATTGTTAAGGATTCAACAAAATGCTTAAAATTCTCACCCACTAAATATTTTTTTGAAATTAAAAAAAAAAAGTATGAAGTTATTTCATGGCAACAACAGGATGTATTTCTCAATTATATGAAGATATCTATGAAATCATATCATATTTTTAGTTTCCAACAAAATATAAACACGTAATGGACAAGAATTGTCCCCCACTCGGCTGTATCCAGTGACTTGAATTCCATAACCCCTCAGATAACACTAGGATGCATCCCTTATACATACACATATGTCCTATCATATTTTATAGCGTTCTACAAAATATAAGTTTAATTGAAAGAAATTGCTTCCACTTTGGTTGCCTTGAGTTTGTTCCCATGCTATCTTATAACGTAAGATTGCTCAAAATACCATTACCTAGATTAAAAAATTAGACTACATTTTAGAGCGCTACCAATTTTTTTTCCCCATCCTCTCCCAAGTTCAATAAATTTTCTATCCGTTCATCAATGACCAAAAAGAAAATGAGATATATAAAAGAATACCTGAAGATTCTCGTGAAGGTACTCATGCTTCATGGAGAGGTCGATGGCGCGCTTGAGACGCTGATTGCGAGCGTCGACTATCTCTCTCGGCAGCCGATTAAGTGCCTCCTTCACGTCCAGATCGTAGTACGGATCGTACAGATCATCGTATCTGAGACCTGATTTCGCCGATCCAAAATACGAAAGAAACATATAGATTAATACACACAAGAGCACAAACAGAAGATTATATGTAAACTCAAAAATGGACGCGGAGTTAGGGTTTTCAAGAGAGGAACAGTACCATATTTGCGGAGGCGAGTGGAGACAGTCTTCATATGCTGACGCGCGAACCAGTTCTTCTTCGGATCAACAAAGGACCGCAAAAACGACGACATTTTTGCCTCGTTCTTTCTGCAACTCTCTTCCCCCAACACGTTCTATCCAGAAGTTTCCCTTCGTTCTATCTATTTGCGCGTGTCATGAAACGTAGTCTCCCATCAGCGAACTGCAAAAGAGGTCTATAAACGACGCCGTGCAACGGTTGTAGGTCAAACAATTGATATGGCCCAACACTGCGGCCCGGCAGCAAGGCCCATTAGTTGATGTTACCATTTGCATCAAAATTTTTTTTTAACATACATGATAATACCCAAATTTTTGTTTTATTCTATAATTATTCCCATGATATATTTGAAAGAGAAAATCAATAAAATTATATTATAAGGTAACATATATAAATTTATAATAAAAATTGATTCTTCGCTATAAAAAAAATAATTTAAAAAAAGAATATTTTTATCTAATAAAAGTATTACTATTGGTTGTTTTTAAAATCTAATTAAGCTACCTTATACAAATTAATAACTAAAAGAATTGTTGTATGTCCGAATAAACTATAAGTTATGTATGTGTTACGTTGTTTCTAATTCATAAAAAAATGTTACTTATCGATATGTATTTATATTAATATTAAATATTTTATTACACAAATATTAAACATCTGTATTATTCTATAGAATGATAAAAGACTTTCTTGTATTCCAACTAGCTCTATCAGAGGAATTTTTACATTTAATTTTTTATGATAATGATTTAATTGAAAGCTAAAAATTGATAAAGATATTCAAGTAAGTGATAATAACTCACACGCAAAAAAAAATTATATTTTAATTATATATAATGAGGTAAATAAAAAGATTAAAACTAATACGATTCTTGCATCATATTCTATAGAAAAAAAATAACGTAAAAGTTAAAATAATGAAAACATAAGGGGTGAGCGTCGGTTTGAAACTTAGAGCAAATTAGATCGGACTAAAAATCAAATGAAAAAGTTTCTTAAAACAAACGCCAAACTAACATATCTTTGGTCCGGACTAGATTAGATTGAAATTTTTTGTCCATTTTGATCTTGGACAGAAATGGAGTAAAATTTGTTAAAAATTTTTAATTTTTAAAATATATTTATTTATATATTAATATTTTAATACGTATTTTTTGTATATTTAATAAATTATTTACTTAATGTATATAATACACGCATATATGTTTATTAGTGTGGAATTTATAATTTTGCAATAAATTTATCTGGAACATGTATAAATTGGTCTCAATCAACATAGTATAACATTTCATTTTTGGAATAAAACATTATTATAAAGTTAAATTAATAATAAATTTTAATCAAAAGAAAAATATTATTGATTCTAGTCGGCGAAACTCACATGCAGAAACATGTAAATGTTGGTACATGGAGGCCCACGCCCACTCTCGCTACTGCTCTTTTCTACCATTTCAACAGGACAATCTGAGAAATCTTCAAAGTATAATTATAACATGTTTCAGATTTCTTGTCTTTCTTGGTTTTTCTTTTCTTTTCTTAATAATATAACATATATATATATATATATACACACATATATCATGTAGAAGCTATCTAGATTTGTTTCACAGAATCTGAAGATTACATGGTAGTTCCTTTCTTTTTTCTTTAGGTTTAAAGATTACGTGGTAGTTAATCTTTCAATCAGGGTGAATATATATATATATATATATATATTTTACATGTATAAACACTACTTACAATGAATGAATGATCAGGATGTGTATATATATATATATATATTTATATACATACATGTGATCTAGAAGCTAGCTAGATTTGTTACACAGAATCTGAAGATTACGTGGTTGTTCTTTTTTTGTTCTTTTAGTTTAAAGATTACGTGGTAGTTAATCTTTCAATCAAAGTATATATATATATATATATACACACATACAATACTTACAGTGAATCAATGATGTGATTCTGGCATTACAAAATACTAAATCTAATTGTGTAATCTACGTTGAAGGTTCCGTGATTAATGGTACTTGTCTGCAACTTAATTAATACTTGGAACAAACTTTTACTTTAGGAGTGAAAGTTAAATTACCATACTGATCATTTCTTCATTTGATATAATATTATATATATATATAATATTATATGACCTTTGATAATTTTTTACTCTACGCAAGACTGCTTTCTTGTCTTAATTTTACATGTGTGATGATGCTAAGAACAAGGCACGGACGGATGATATACACACATATAGATATATATATATATGTAAATATGTATGTGCATATGTTTTATATGAAGATAAAGAGGTATATTAATTTTTATTCTAACAATACTATTTTATATTAACTCAAGAAAAAAAAACATTTACATACTAAATAACTAAAACTTAAAAATTAAATCAGAATATATGTAAAGACTCGCAACTTAAATAAAAACAATGTCATAAATTAAATGCGGAAACGTATAATAACGTTAGTGTTTACATTTCTTACACATAAATTAGCATGCTCAATAGAACTAAAGAAATGTACTTTTACTAACGGTTCATAAAATAAAAAATGTAATAACATATGAAAATAGTAAATAAATATTGTAAGGATGCTAACCTCCACTAACTCTTGATAGGATTCGGGAGAATACCTATTCACAGCCCTCCTGCTGATCAAGATTTGGATTTTGATATTTTTGATCTGAAATGGTTAATAGGGGAGGGGGTGAGCTACATTATCCCAATAAAAATATCACACAACTCAATAATACAGAAACTGACTGTTGGTAAAAATCATAAAAATAACCAATAGAGCTCTTAATTTAAATAAATTTATTTATCATAAGAAAAACTATTTATTGTATACCTACCGTTGCGAGATTTTCAAAACCGATCTGTACAAACAATAACTCAAATAACATTATGATCTCATATTCAGTTGAGCAAAAACAACAACTTTCTTTTTTTTATTTTGCTTACTAGTATCCATGAGAGTCCATAGAGGTGTCTCACTACGCGTGAGTGAACATAATATATAAACTTGTCAACTAACCGGCCATCCCTATATCCCGTCCGATATAAGCGCCACCAAAAATAACATCTCTCACACCGTAGTATGAGGTAACGTTCACGGTAGGGTTCCCTATATACTCGGTCCGTCCACTATCTCTCAAGATATCTAGAAAGACAACCATTCATTAATTCACATAAGCAAATCATTTCTCATTTGCATATTAATTTCAAATTTCATAAATTAAACGTAAATCACGCAAGACAAGCAATGTATTCATTAAAAAAGTACAACTGAATTATTTAACAACTTCAATATATTATCATGTATTTAAAGCTATAAATTCAAATAATCAGTTAAACAGGACAAATAAATAACTAACAAGTTCCGGCTCCATTAGTGACCTGTAATTATTCTTAAAATTTTTCTAAATTTTACAAAATACTATATTATTAATTATTAAGCTTCAATTCCATAACAAGAAATATAGTTATGGATTCTTACCCAAATCAGTGTCCAAAATACCAAACTTTCTACTGCGCCTACTGACGGTCCCCAGGTTTCCTGAATTTTCTTGCAGAGATTAAAACAGGCTCCACATACCTAAAAATACTCCAAAAATCCAAAATGAGTGTTAAAATTCCTTCACGGCACCCTCGCCTGCGGCGACGATTTGCCTCGTCCTGGCTGGTTTTAGCCATTATTATACATATCCCTGCGAAAAAACACGTTAGGAGATCTCGATTGGCCGAAAAAAATCAAAAAATAAAATCTACCGATGGTGGAATTTTTCCGGTGCGGCGGGTCCGCTAGCCCACTTCGCAGTTGGAATTTTTTCTTCGATCAATCTGTAGAAAAAAGAACGGTGAACACAATGGTAGAAAAATCGCACGAAACGGAAAACAGGAAGGGGCTCATCGAAAGAGATTGTAAGTTTTGCCCGCAGCGGCTCTGTTGGGTTTTATCCGCAGTTTTAAGCTCACCCCTTGTTCATTTTGCTTCGATATGGCCACTGAGATACTCGGAATCAAATTCTAAATGGGTATGATAATTTTTTTTACTTTTTTGACGGTCGGAGGTGGTTTTGGTGCAGCGGCGGTCGTCGGTCACCAGTCGACTCCCTTCTCCGACGACTGGTTCTTTTTCTCTAGCAGGAGGCTGACGGCTAGGGTTTGAGTTTAGTGTAATACGAAATATTTAAACCCATCTCGCGTTAATTTGGGTCGTTCATCGCGTTTAATCTCGATTATTCGATCGCACCTTATGAGGAAACGAATCTAAACCATTTAGCGCGTTTGATCTCGATTGTCCGATTGCACATAAGGAAAAACGGATCCAGACTGTCCACGCGCGTGGGATCACTTATGGGTTGTCCGATCGCAGGGCACACAGATTACCAACGTGGCCTCCCACATGATACCGAGTTAGTGTGCCTTACCACGCAACACACTCCGATTCGTCGAGACTACTGACTGGGCGGTCCTACATGGCCAAAATTTTTTTATTTGCATTCTGACTTCCACTTTCTGATTTTTTTTTCAAAAATACTCTTCGAACTCAACTTTTCATCCATTTTCCTCAAAATTATTTTCAATCTTATCCCTAATTTATTTTTTTCCAAACATAACAAAAATTTCACTAAATTAATTCATAAAATATATTTTTTATACATATCTAAATAAACAAAATTTATCTTGGGCCAAATTTTCGGGTATGGGTATTACAATATAATATATTTGAACCAAATACAATGATTATTTAACAAAAAAAAAGAAATAAAACATCAATAACTAGGAAATTATATAAAATTAAAGACGGTAAATCTAATATAATATGTCAGTACTTGTAAAGGCCCGAACCTCTGTTAGCGATTTTTAAAGTATAATACAGAAATAGTATAAATAAACAATACTGAAATTTATGAATTAGCGGAAACGATTTATACTTTAGGGGTTACATTCTTTACAGAGTTTGCTTAAAATGTCCAATAGGACTACAAAAATATCATTGAATAACATAAATGAAAAAGAATAATAAAGAAAACAAATATGATCAATCTCTACTCGAAACTAGAAAAGTGGAGAGATAATTTTCTAGCTAATTTTCTTACTGTTATGGATCTGAGTCTTGGTCGTCCTGATATGAA